CAAAACAGCAAATCTCGAGCCGAGGTCAATGCTCTGATGCCCCAAACGATGGAGATGTCGATCTGCTTGTTGCTCGGGACCGTCTCGGCAGGCGGGAGGTGGCCAAGAAGGCGGCTTCAAGGGCGGCTTTCCGAGGTCCTGATGGGTTGAAAATGAAACCCTAAACCCTGAAAGCCTAAACCCTTGCGTGTAAGGCTAAACCCTAAAACCCTAAACGGGTGAAGCCCTAAACCTTCAATCCTAAGGCTTAAACCCTCAACCCTGAGACGACACCTCTCAATCCTCATGGGTAGTTGTCAAAATTATGGTCCCTTTTTGGGTACCCTAAATATTATCAGGTGCCGTACTATATTAGGGACCCAGAAAGGGACCATAATTTCGACAACTACCCTCATGAAGCCCACACTCCCAGTCCGAATCTAGAGGTCTTGACTAAGTAGTATAGGGTCGAGGGTTTGGATACCATCTTACAATCCCTAAACCCTAGCCGTTTCACAGCCCTGCGCCCGGAAGGCCTGGGTGACTTGTAGCTGTCGCGCCGGCACCAAGGGAAGCACGTCCTGACATGCGCGCCGGGGGTTTCTAAAGGCCCTGTTCGGAAGTTATGTCAGGAATGTGTCAGGGTTTGGGGCTTGAAGGTATAAATAAGCTTTAGTTTAAAGCCAGGGTTTTGGGCTTATGTTCAGATTGTGGTAGAGGATTGGTAGTCAAAGGTTTGGCCTCGGACTTCTTGGTGCTGTCTCTACCGAGTCCGGGTTGCCAGAATGCCTTACCTGCATCTAAAAACCCTGCCGTTTCAGCGGCGAAAGCCCCGTTATGAAGGGGCCATATTGCAGTATTTTGTAGGGTTTGGGCTGACAGGTAGCAGCTTGAGTAGGATTTGGGTGTATATCGCTAATTCTTCAGACCCTTATGTTTTTGCCCGTTTGGCGATGAGATTTTGGCTAGGGGGTCTGGAGCGAAGCATTTAGGTTTCGGACTGAACGGCAGCTTTGGAGGCCTTCACATTTCACTATTGCAAGTTTAGAGTTTAGGGTGGAGACTTAGGGCTGAAAGCTTATAGGGTTTAGGACTTAGAGTTCAGCTCCAGCTACAACGCTGACTTTGTTCGCTGGCGGGGAGCGTTTTCGGGCTGAGAGGTTTAGGATTTATAGTCAAGCGTATTGAGGTTTGAGGGCTTAGGTTTTGGATCTTAGGGTTAGGCTATTTGACGTTTCCACACGCTCACGAATCCAAAACCCCAAACCCCATAATCTAAACCTTATCCCGAAGCCCCGAAGCCCCAAAACAAAACCTACCTACCCCAAATCCCAAACCTCAAACCCTAAAATCTAAAACCCTGGTCCCGAAACCCTGAAGCAAACAAAAAGCTCCTCGTCCTCCACCTCCGCGGGCGAGACATCGAGTCGGCGGCTTGGGCTGTGGTTGCCCAACCTCGCTCGGGAGGGCGCGATTCCAACGCAGATTTAGGGGGGTGGGCTTCGGGTTTGGGTTTCGAGTTTCGGATTTTCAGTTTAAGTCGCAATGGCTCTGTACAAATCCCCTGCGCACTTAGACTAGATCACATCGGACGCCTAAGTACCAACGTCTCTATGTGGGGCGTCGTGGGTGAGGAAGCAGCTGCCTCGTGCAAAACGCTGAGCTCCTGAAAACCCTTCGGGAAACATTGGAAGCCTCACAGGACGGGGCGAGCCCGGGAACGGCGAAAGCCATTGATACCAGCAAAACCAATGCAGATGCATCACGAAAGAACGGAATCTACGATTACGGCAGCCAGCCCACATGTGTCGTGTATATGAGGTCGATCTACATCAGGAAACACGTTCAGGACTGCTTTTCCAAAGAATCGAGGCCGGAAATACTGAAAGCCTGAAGCCAAGCCCATCCCCAAGACCATGAACCTCATGTCCTGCACCTTTCAGGCTAAATCCAAAGCCTGAAGCTCCAATCCGAAAAATTCCCTATACTTCACATTCCATATAAGGATTCCCCTCCACTTTCAGGGAACTTCCTCGCCAAAGGTACTTAGTTTAAGAAGCCCTTATAAATCCCATTAATGAAACCTGTATGAGAACAGTCTTGATCATATTCTGAAAAACACCATGGATCCCTTCTTATTGGTCTTATGAGGCCTTGACGAAACCCACATGACCTTGAACCCTAAACTTCAAACCCTAAACCCTAAACCTTAAATCCTAAACTTTAAACCCTAAACCCTAAACCTTAAACCCTAAACCCTAAACTTTAAACCCTAAACCCTTAAACCCTTAAACCCTAAACCCTCATAACCGGGCTTCCGGACGAGGTCCAACCCGGAGCGTCACAGGCCGGAACGTCCCAGAAGCCTCGATTTTGGCACGCTGGAATGTCAGGGCTCTTCGCCAAATGAAGGGTTTAGGCTTTAGGATGATATGATGGCAACATGGGTATAGTAGCCTTGATAAACTTGCTTTGCTGATTGTAAGGCTTCCATTGGGCAGAATGGGCGTCCCTTGAAGTAGAAAAAGACTTTCGACTGTTGGACTTAGGGTTTGGGGTTTTGGGCTTGTAGGCTTTGCAGGGTCTCGTTTCGAGTTTGGGGTTTAAGCAATTTGTGCTCCAGGGCCTTTGAGCCTATAGTTACAAGCTCCAGACCCGACTAGACTGCTGGAGCCTGCAGCTCTCGTCATCCTTTCGCGTTTCCACCAGGCTCAGGTTTCATGTAAGAACCTGATTAAGAAACCTTGGGTTTTCTAGGGTTCCTTACATGAATCCTACTATTTTGGGGTTCTAGGCCCAGGGTTTCTTAATCAGGTTCCTACATTAGGGTTAAACCGCATCTCGTGGAAAATAGAGCAACGCGTTTTGACTCAGAGGAATGGACACGACTCTGCTCTCGGGCAACCCAAAGACTGTGCGAGCAACGTGCTCAGATCCTCTGTGCGTCTATCTGGGAAATTCAAACATCAGAAAATCAGGGTCCCAAGCATAAACTAAACTCGGAACAGAAGGCTCCCTCCCAAACCAAAAACCCCAAAACCGGCAAAGTAGGAGTCTTCTTATGAAGGGAACTCCAAGTCCCGAAGAGGAGGATCCGTATTCTAGACTCTCCTAAGGCCCTGAATACTCGAACTACTAAGGAACTGAGACACTCCCTTTTTCATATCCTGAAGGGTTTAGGGATTCTTGAAGCCCTTAGTATATGAGCACTACTGTTAATGTGCCATCAGGGGCCATGCACTGATGCGCGGAGGCCAAAGAACTTGACGAACCGTCCCGAAACTCTATGATAATGCTTAACAGGTTTCGAAGCTTCGGGCTTAGGGCTTGGGGTTGAGGGTTTGGGATTCAGCACAAGGATTTAGGTTCGAGGTTTAGCACTTGCTCAGAGCTACAGTGGGGGCTTGGGCAAGCCCCAAACCCTTTCCGCCACCGAAGACTTGATTGCAGCCAGCAACAGAGACCACTTGCCGTGCAAGCCTGGACATCGAGCAGAGATTTAATGGTTTACAAAGGGTTCAGCGTTTAGGGTTTAGTACATTCCGTGTAAAAGGTTCCTTCAACTGCGTCTATAGCGGTTACTATGTTCTTGTCGAAAAAGAACTGCGATTTGGTGCTGCTGTCTTGGCCTCGAAGCAGTACCCCGCCCGAAGTGGTGCGCCCGTACCAAAATGTACGATTTGATGCCGTTGTCTTGGCCTCCAAGTGCTGCCCCAGTGCTAGGAAGCACGACGCGTTGCCTTTGTCTTGGCCTCGTATTGGTGCAGCAGCGCTAAGAAGTGCGATTTGTTGTGTTGTGTTGGCCCGGAGCGGTGCCCCGGTGCCGAAACATGCGACGGGTTGCGGCTGTCTTGGTTTGGAAGTGGTGCAAACTTATTTTTCCAGTAGCAACCATCATCCTGCTAAGACGAAGCAAGTAAACACACAGCTAAACTACACATGGGTGGTTGTCAAAATTATGGTACCTTTTTGGTTCCCTCATATAGTACGACACCTAATACGCAGGGTACCCAAAAAGGGACCATAATTCTGACAACGACCCACATGCGCAACATAGAAAAAGTCCTGTTAACTGCATCGCTTTTTCAGGGGTCCTGTGGCAAGGTAATCTCCCAGTCAGGCAGGTTTCTAGCCCAACCCCTAGAGACCATATATCTCAGCCCCACGCCCCGAACCCGAAACCCTTAGTGGATGCAGCCTCTTCGACTCTTCATGAAGGAACAGGAACTTCTGACAAGAAGAAACCCTCCTCTATCCTGGGCCTAGCCATCCACCCCCAATGCCTCGGCACCCGGGAAAAAGCCTTAAAAGAAAATCTAAACCACCCTTGTCCTTTTAGAAACAATAGACAGAGCCATATACCTATATCCCTTAGTAGGAGTTATTTAAGAAGGTCTACTAGCCGGTCTGTTTATTCTTTTGGGGGAACCATGAAAAAGGACAAGGCTGAACTAAACCTTACGCTCTGATTGAAGTGCACCAGCCTGGGTGCCGCCATCCGCTGCAGGCAGGGTGATGGTTGCAGTGCCGAGGTTGAAGAAGCGCGAGGTCACCACCTTGGAGCTCCGGTGACACCCCCGGCATTTGCGTTTCGGGACTAGGGTTTAGGGATGAGGCGTAGGATCTCGGTGTTAGGGAGCTGAAGAAGCTCGCGTTGAAGGTTTAGGGTTTCCGGTGAACTGTTTCCGATCTGGGATTTACGGTAGCAGGTCTTCTGGAGGCAGCCAGGGAGAGGCTAGTGTTCCGGCCGAGGCCGATGCTCGGGGCCCCTTAACCCTAAACTGTGTCGTAACTTCTGTAGAAGTCCCAGGGACAGGAGCTTTCGGGCTCTCAGGCTTGGGCCGAGTTCAGCGGATGTCTTGGGACTCGCTTCGACGTGTAATGCAGGGGCCTCGATAAGCGGCTAGAACGGAGTTTAGGGTATATTCGAACCAAAAGTTTCTACGGACTACCAGGGCATATCATAGACTTGTGTCTATTCCGACCTCTATATACGAAGACACTGTGTTTGAGCTGAAAAATCATCGTGCTGCTGTCGGGGAAGGCGAGCGCGCACGGTTCATAATTAAAACCGATACACCATCATTGGTGCTGGTCAACTTTGTCCGGAACTCCGCGTCCGGAGGTCGGACGCGAACCCGGACGAAAAGTTTCTGGTCGGTCATCGCCGCTGTACAGTGCTTCAGGGTCCACAATCGACGGTTCGACAAAGACCGCCAGTACCTCGGATTTGCTGTAGGGCACGAAACATGCGACTGCTCCCTGCCGACCTTCCGGTTCAACTAGGCCTCATGTGAGCCACGCTTTAGGGTTTAGGGTTTAGGGTATGGTCATCAGCAGTGGGTTTGTTGCCTGCCAAACTATGCAGTTTCGATCGCTCTTCTTCGTAGTATCACCCGCGTCCCTCCAGCAATCTGGGAGCTGCCGAAAGTAGAACATATGTAATAGAGACCCTGGGTAGCTTCTGCTACCGCCCTGAACCCAAAAATCGGGTTCCCTAAAGTCCTAAGCCAAAAAGTCTGAGTCCTAACGTCCCTAAACTAACCCTAAACCCAAAACTTCTGAGTCCTAAAGTGCCTAGACCAAACCAATGTCCAACACCTAGGCACCCCTCGTGCCACACGACATCCAAGGGCTCGAGCTCTCGGAGGGGGTCGACCTGGGTAGTGCAGGGACCAGAGCCTGGTTAGGTTATGTTAGCGTTAGGGCTCAGGGTTTAGAGTTCAAGGGCTTAGTGGTTTCGGGGTTCTTTTAATGTAATGGCTTTGCCTTCTGGTTTATCCTTTTTTGGGTGTGAGTTAACGCTCTCAAGATTTAGAGTTCAGGACTGAGGCCCTAAATCCTAGTTCAGGGCTGAGGCCCTGCTAGCGCAAACCCTCAACAACTCAAAACTCAAGACAACTGAGTTGAAAGCCCGGATAAACACCACAGGCAAAGCCAGACAACCCAAACCAGATGCACCTCACAGACCCCTTCCCCTTCCCCGGAAAAAAAGCGATGATTAAAGAAAAGAGCTGTCTCCTGATCCCAAGCCGAAAGACCAAAAACACTATGCTAATATAGGGGCTTTAATAATTAGAGTAGGGTTTTGGTAATTATTTAGCCCTCTATAGTATAGACCCCTGCCAGAAAAGATTGCCTCCTGAGAGTTCAAATCGTTCATCAGCTGGAAGATAGGCCGCCCATCGCGGAAAGTCGGACTGATGCTGGCCTGAGTGAACCTGCACCGAGGCTTTATCTCTACTGAACTTAGACCCCAAGCAAAAATTGTACTGTTAGCTGTTTCTTAGGGATTAAAGGAACCATGCAAAGATTAAGTGAAGGATCACACCAACGAGCTGTGCGTTGCCCAACAACCGAGACAGGCTTCTTTTACACCTACATAAGTTTGAAGAGGGTTTTACATGTGTTTGCAAAGGCTTTGTTGGGCTTACGTAGGGCTTGGAAGTTCATAGGGTTCAGGATTTAAGGCCTTGGTGAACATGCGCCGCAAGAAGTTTCCGGAACTTTCAGGTTGAGGGGGGGGGGTTAGTCACTTAGGGTTTAGGTTTGCGGTTCTCGAGTCGCATCTAAAGTTGCGACCGCCAGTGGAAGATCAGAAACTTTGAACCTGTAGATCCATCGTGGAAACGCTACTTCCCCGCCGTGCAGGAATCAGACCATAAAGCACAAACCTAGCCCTAAAACGTTGCGCCCCAAACCCCAAACCGACGAAAGAATGATCAACCCAAATCGCTGTATCCGCGCTACCCCTAGACCTGAATTACACCCAGATCCTTGATCTCAACTTTTCTACAGCTGACGCTGTGCAGCACTATGATCCTAGCGCCACAACCCGTATGCAAAGTGCATCTAAGCAACCGCATTATACATACATCCATCCATCCATCCATACATACATACATACATATATATATATATGATGTATCGCCTTGATACCTTCATTCCCTACCAAGCTCCGGTAGCCTCAGCTTTCTTGGATCCATCTTGCGCTCCAGACGGAAGAAGTCCGTACCGGCCTCTCTGGGGGGGGAGCATCCCTGATTCCTAGATCCCAGACCCTAAACCTTAAACCCTAAACCAAAAACCCCAAACCCTGAACCCTACCTAAAACCGGTCTGGTGTTCAGCGCTCCCGCAAAGAAACCTAACCAAAATCTTCAACAGTCCAGCATAAATCTCCCAAGAATTCTGCAAACCGATGTTCTTTGTCTAGGATACCCAGTAACCTAAGAATAAAGAGCCCTCTCTTTTTGGTATTGGGTAACTTTATAGGGAACCTAGGACTACAAAAAGGGAATAAGGGTACTACTGGGCATCCTAGTTGTAATCCCTAGATGCACCTGCGAGGATGACTCTTGAAAGAGGAGCTGTTCCTCGTCGGGGATTGACCACCTGGGCTCAGACTCGTAACGGTAGCGAGCGATAGGGCTTTGAAGCCTTTGAAGCCTACGACCCGGGTTGGGTGGGGTTTAGGCTTTAGGTACTTTAGGGTTGAAGAAGAACTTGAAGCTGTGGAACTATGGATCTTGGCTATCGGGCTGTAGATGTTCGACTCTTTAGATTGCAGTTTGGGATTTCGGCTTGGGCCTTGGAGTTTAGGTTCGAATCATTGAATGCCTGAGAACTTGCGATGAACATCGAAGCCGACCCTAAATCGACACACCAAGTCTGAAGACAGTGAGCTGCATACACGAAGTAGAGCAAAAATGCAAGTACTCTAAGACTAGGAGTACTGTGCGGGGGGAATGAGCCGACAGGGCCAAGCAGCTGTGCAACAATGGCCTTCACAACATCTCCCTGGTCGGCACAAGATGCGGAGAGCTTCTGTCCACCCGGGCCATAGATTATCGTCTTCCTGGCATCCTGCCAAACTTCGGGTTTGGGGCTTAGGTTCTGGGGTTTAGGTTCGGGCTAATGTTAGAAGCACCGGATGTAAAGCTTGCCGCGTTGAAGTTGCTTTCAGGCTTTCTGGCTCTGGGGTTCAAGCTCTTTGAAACACCAGCTCGAATACCACATGAGGTAAACGTTTGCTACTGCTATCTCCATAAAAACACCCCAAACATGTGCTTACCAATGTCGCAGATGGGCCTGGACAGTCCAAGACAACTTATACACAAAAGAGTGTCGGTTTAGGACTCAAGGTCTTTAGATTCTAATCTGTTTGTCGGCAAGAAGATATGTGATGTGCAGTAACCTGACTACGGATCCAACCTGGGGTCTAACTGCACGGCAAAAAGGAATGGAGGTGCACCAACTTGTGGGATGCAACACACACGATTAACAGCACGGCTGAAAGAGCACGATGTCGGTCGGGTATCGGGTCTGGGGTTGAGGGGTCCGGGCGGGTGGTGTGCCCAAGTTCAACGACCCTGCTCGCTGCATACCCGCATCGAACTTCCTCAGCTACCATAATCTCGGGTTCCTTGAAGGGATCTATACGGGATCCTTCTAGGGTTTAGGGTTTAAGATTTAAGTTACCATAATAAGGAAAACAAATTATTTACTGTGCCATTGCTGCAACCCTGGCCCCTAGACCCGCTAAAATCTAAACCACCTAGACCTTCGGAAAACCGGACCAGTATAGCCGAAACCGACCCTAAACCCTAAAGATCCAAACCCTAAACCCCTCAACCCTTCAACCCTCCACCCCAAGACTACCCGGCTCAGACTTTACAAGGAACAAGGACCTAGAAAATCGCTTCCGGAGGTCCTGCTGGGGACTCTTCGGCCGATCCGCTGTAGAATCCGAGGACCCTCCCGCAGACTGCAGCGAGCTCGAGGAGGTCTGACTACCGGCAGCGCCTCTTTGGGTTCAGGGATGGGGTTTGGGGTTTTGGGTTTAGGGTTTGTGGTTAAGGGTTTACGGTTCGGTTTGGGGTTTTCGGGTTTGGGTTTTGAGGTGATATTCGAAGGTAGGTTGAGGGTTGGGAGCACTGGGTTCTTGTTGAGGGCCTTTCCTTACACCTAGGAAGCCATAGTTTCATTTATACGGTAAACCCTAATATGGTCGCCGGAATGAATTTTACAAGAACCTAGGTGAGTGCTGGTGTTTCGGATTTGGAAAGTGCAAATTGCCGTTGATGGCTTCAATCGGGCAAGGGCTGGCCCATGGACAGTCAGAACTACATGTGCAAGTTCCCGGATAAAGGTTACAATTAGATATTAATGCTTACACTCGTGATTCCGAGTTGTTCTGCGAGCAGGATGGGATGCCGCCAGTCTGCCCGATACGAAGCATCCCGGGCTGGGAAGGAGTTCTGGAACAGGCGCATAAAGGGTCTAGGCCAGTTAAACGCATGACCGAACCTGGCCAGGGTTTATTCTGTAGCGGTCTTTCTTAATAGTTAGAATAAGGTTTGGAGTAGATCAAGGGTATTAAGGGTATGCGAAGGAACCCTATGGACTAATTTTGCTGCGCCCCACCATTTCACCGTGCCCTGCGAGCCTGTAGGACTTGCTTTGCCTGAACCGGGCTCCGCCACAGGTGCTGCTGGCTGGGAGACCTGCGTTGCCGGGACAGGAATGACCGGCGGTGCTTTTGGCGGTGCTGGTATGGTCCTCCCGGTTGGTGGCCTTCCGCCAGGCAGGCCGCCAGGCAGAGGTTGCTGTTGCAACTGTTGCATCTGCTGCATCTGTTGCCTCTGTTGCTGATGGTGGCTCTGTAGCCAAGCATCGAAATCGGGTCTGCCAGATGAGACAGCTGGTGAGCGAGCCATCACAGCGGACAGGGGCCCTTCCGTCTTCGCACCGAAAACAGCCGGATGCCGATTGAGCAATCGTCCCTCGGGACCAAGCTCCGAACCTGTCGGACATCCCGCCGTGCTCTGGCTGCTTGCACACGGTCGCATGGCTGTTTGCACAGGCGAGTCTAGCCTTGGAGGCGCCGCAGCCTCTGCTGGATCAGACCGCAAGCTCTTGATGCTTCCAGCCTGGTTCGGTGTCGGTGAAGGTAGCGCTGCTGCCGCTGTTGCAGCGGCCGGTGTGACCGTTGCACTCGGTATGACCGGTGTTGCTGCAGGAGCAGCTTTGCTTTTCGTTTCGGGTGTACTAGATGCTGCCTTCTCCTTCCGTACCAGATGCCGAAGCCTCTTCAAGTTGTTCGGATCCAGTTTCATCTGTTGACAGGTGTTCCCGCACGTGTGACTATTAAAGAAGGCCCGCATACCTTCCACGCCAAGATCGCCCGGCCCGAAGTTTTTGTCAAGTGACACCACTTGCGGGTCGGTCATGATCATGTGGGGCCGCCTCCGATGGGCCTTATCCATGTACACACCCTGCAAGTCAAGCACCATGTACTTGCCCGCACTTGCATCAAAGGTAAAGTGCGAGAATGCCTGTGCGATCTCTGTGTCGGGGGCTTCCTCATTCCTGGGTCCACGTCAGGAAAAAACGAGAAAAGAGACTCTGCACCGTGGCTTTTAAATGTTGCGAAACCCGAACCGCAAACAACAGAACCCATCCCTACCAGCCATAACATTAACCAACACCCCAACAGCACCTTAAACCCTACAGCCAGAAATCCTAAACCCTTCATTCAAAACCCAAACACCATAATCCCACTTTCTCCAAGACCAAGATTCACATAGCCATGGTTCGAGTTGTATTTCAGGAAGGCTCCCGGTAAATATCGCTCACCGACAAAGTACTTCGTCGGAGCGGCACTTCCCTCAGCTACCTCGTAGATGTAGCCTGGGCCCACGTTAAAGAACGGGGTTTAGGGTTTAGGGTTTAGGGTCTTAAGCTACCACAAGCGAAACATACTATTATTCCGCTTCACTATGTTCCCATTATGATCCATACATTATTCATCGGGGTAAAACCTGCAAAAGGGACTACAGGCCCTCCCTGCACTGCAACCGAAACCCTAAGCCCCATACCCTCAACCCAACACCGCCAAAAAAACACTCCAAAGCGTAATCCATCCTGGAGTCCGAACCCTAGACCCACAAACGCCCCTTGTCCATGCCCCCCACGGTGCCGGGTTTAGGGTTTAGGGTTTGGGTTTAGGGTTTAGGGTTTAGGGTTTAAGTAGAATTCTTAACAAGTAGCACTCCACGAAGATGATCTTGGCCATGCTGCGCCCTTTCAGGCCGAGCCGGTCTGCCGCAGCAAGCGTGAAAATGCGAGAATACCACTTCGCCAGGGCACTGCTCTTCGCGTATGCTGATACAACGTCGTAGGAATTGTGAAATGCATCGACATACCTCGATAGTTTCGCAACCATCCGGGCGTCTGTCCCCGCAGCTTGCATCGTGTAGTGATCCCACTCCTGCTCCTTGTGCAGAGGAATGGAGGAGTCTTTGAAACAGTACACAAGACGCATACCACCCTCAGTGAAAGGTTGCAGTCTGATGGACACAGTCTGGTTGGAGAACGCATGTCCATACACCCACTCACGGAAGCCGTTGTCAGTGAAGTTCAAGCCGCGGCGAGTGATCTGAAAGCTGACAGACCGGTTGTTGCCCCAGAAGAACTGATTGGCAGGCTCGAAGCAGACAGATCTTAGCTCTAACACTTTATCTTTGGAACCTTGCCGCACATCGTCGCCACTTGATGGGCCTTGGCCACCTTGGAAAGAAAATGTGCTCGACTTGCTCGTGCGGCTTGTGACAGTCTGCGTCTTAGTTATCGTCGACGTTACAGATGCGAAGGCTCCGTGCAGCGCAGCGATCGATCGACCAGACGGGGCAAAGGTGCCTCGCCCAATCGATGTCAGTTGCTGCAGCACATCGAAATCCAAACCGTCTCCAAAGCCGATGGCGTGAATCCTGAGCGATGTGTACTCCTTCATCATGTCCTGCACGAGCTTGAGAGTCTGCACCCCATCTGCTGGACGGCCATCACTAAAGATGAGAAGATGAGGCGTGCCAGCAGCATGGGCGAAAATTTTCTTGGCGGCATCCAGCCCAGACACGAAATGCGTCCCACGGCTGGCTGCAGACTTGAAAGCCGGCTTCACCTGAGACTCTTTCAAAGCGGTTTTGGGCGATGCTGAACCGCTCCGTTTCCAGTATCCATGGTTCGGGTTTTCTGGAACGAATTTGCCGCAAGTCCCATCTACAGCGTCCCGTGAAAAGCCCTTACACTCGGGTATCTAGCTCTGGATGCGTACTTCAACAGCAGTTTCCCACAGTAGTTCATGAAGCGCTCAAGGTGGCTATGGTCTATACTAATCACAGGGACTCAAAAAGTTTCGTCACACCACCACCTGCGTGGCAGCTGCGGCAGCGGTCTGCGCTTTAAAGTGCAGGCGTGGCTTCTCGCTGAACGAGATGAGGGAGAAACGGTGCGGACAAACCGCTTGTGCCTGGCTGACCGTCTTTTGAGAAATTATTTCAGATCGGGCTGTGTCATTGCAGCGCAAGTCCGACTAGAAACAGCTACTAGAGATGGGACCGGCAAAATTCCTGGGTAATTATGTTCGGTCTTACATTCAGATACGCTTTCTGCGCCGGAGCAGAATCTGGGACTAGTTCTCAAACTCCACAAAGGTTAGCAGGAATTTGGACCGCGAGGCCTGTTTCTGAAAGAAGGAGGAGAGTGTCTCTGTCACCGCCGCCATGCGGGAAACCCAGTTGCTGCCCTCGTCGGGCTTCACATCAACAGTTCGCATGGAACCTGAAGTATCTACGATCACGATAACATGGGCCTGGTGGAGCTCTGGGAGTGTAGCACTCAGCTCAATGGGTCTGCCAGCTTGGCTGAATGTACCTTTGAGTTCGGGAACCTTGTTCCGAACCTCATCCTCATGATCCGAGAGCTCGTCTTCGCTGTCCCTAGCATCGTTCGCCGTTTTGCGTTTTGAATCTATTTCCTGCAAGGCGGTTCTCATGGCCTCCAGCACTTTACTGTCAACATCGTCGCTTTCAGCTGCAATGTTCTCAGCCGCAAGGATTTCCTCATGCCATTGCTTGCCGGCGTATTCCTCGGCCTCCTCCCCCTGATGGGTATCATACTCGCCCCAGCAATGCTCACAGTAGAAGCAAAGTGAGTTGTCGCACCATCCCTGCCGTTTGTGGTGGCACCAGGTGCATTCGTCTACCCGTGCCCGCAGGCTGTCAGGACAAACAACGTAGCTGGCGGTCATCTTTTTGAACTTCATTGCGACGGCAGGGTCCTGTGGCCATCGCGCCTCGCCGGCGGGGGCCATCGGAGTTTCTAGTGTCCCTGCAGCTGAAGCCCATTCATCTCAGCAGTTTGGGCAGCATCAAGGACCACACAACTCCATCGCAAGTCATGATCGTATCCGGACCGGCTGACCACTGAATGGAAGCAAAGTGCCTAAACAGCATGCACCCTCTGAGTGTCAGGCATTTCCGGTGCTCCAACTCTCAGCGACCTGGGGACAGCATGGAGAACATGGGAGCCGCGGGGTGGTTGCAGTGTTGATACCGACTGCCATCTCGAAAAGCAAAAACAGGCCAAGTGTTTCGGGCTTTAGTTGATGCTGCCAGTGCTGTGATAGGGCCACAGCTCTGCCAACAACCACTAGAAACACAAAGAACCTCCCCAAGTCCAAATCCACTAAACCGTCGCATGCAGGTTAACCGCGAAGCCCTACTGTAGCCAGAGCACGATGTCCAAAATGATTTTCTGTGGACGACTTCGTGGACAGCTGGTTCCCGGCCGCTCTTTCACAAAACCCCGAACCAAAGGTGGAACGAAACGAAACCAAAGTCCCAAGAAGCAGAAATCCAGCGGCTCTGACATGTTTGGTTCGACTGGGCTGTTGTGATCGCTCTTTTCTGATAGCTCCAGGCTTAAGGTTCAGGAGGCTTGATACAAGTAATTGGAGGTTCATGGGTAGTTATAAGTAGGGTTATAAACAGGGTAACTATACTTATGACCCATATTAGGGGACTTATATCCCCAATTATAACTGCCCATGAACCTCCAAGTATGCTGTACACCATCGGAACAATATGCAGCGCAATAGACCAGAACACCGAAACTCTACAAGACCCCGCAACTAACTAGCTAACTTTGTTACGGTGCCGGCAGCCCCCAAATGGACAGGACACTACCACAAGACCACACAAATGTGACGGTCAAATACAGAATTAAGCACCAAACAATGCTACAGCCCTCCATCCTTGACTAACCAGCTCCCCCAACATCAAAGGTTAGTTGAGTCAGGCAGCAAGAGTCCGCAGTTCACCCGTGTTCACAGCAACACCGACCTGAGAGCAGCCGGCTGGATCCTTTCAAAGCATCATTACAGGATTTAAGGGAGGGTGGTTCAAGGAGGGAGGCACTAGGGATTAGTAGGTTATCTATCCCCCTTGGACTTGGCGCCCTCTCCCGCAAGGATGCTATAACAGTAGTCGCGGCTTCGGAGGTCCGCTTCTTCGCGGAACAAAGGGTAACCGTTGGAACTATGTAGGGATGAGGCTATTTGAACAAAATGAAAAGCTTCTTGCTCTGCTACAAGTTCCGGGTTATGGTCTGACAAGTCGATTGCAGGGAGGAACGACACAAGTTCGTGAATGTGTCGCGCAGAGCGGCGATATTGAGTTAATTGAGTTTTGTGACACTGGCGGCATGATGATCATGCTTGCTCTCATCTTCACCATGAAATTCAGAAGTCTGGGCACTTGTCCGCAGGTATCACTACGACTTGCCCAAAGTACGAAGAACTAGCAGCTCACGAACAGGCGCCCCTAGCCCGCCACAGCGCAAGTTGGGACCTGAACCAAAACGACCCCAAGCTCTGAAACTCCGAGAGCCCTGAGCCCCAAAGCCAGGTTTATAAGGCCATGGCGTTGGTGGCACGGGAGCCTGTTGGGGGCAGACACTTCCAAGCATGGTAATGTAGGAACCTGATTAAGCTACCCAGGGCCTATAACTCCCAAAAGAGTAGGATGCATATAAGGAACCCCAAGAAGGGCCAAAGGTTTCTTAATCAGGTTCCTACATTATCAGGGCCGGAGTAGGGCGAAAAGAGCTTTTAAGGGACATAGTACTATGAAGCATGGTATAGGGGGCCGGAATAGTTCGAAAAGGGCTTGTAGGCTTGTAGGGTATATACTATAATGATAAGGACGGTTTGAAGTGGCAAAAGTACCAGATATATTAGGCTTCTACATGAAGGTTTTCCAGGCCGTCAGCACTTACAACCGAAGATTTCAGGGTTTTGGGTCGGGGGTCTCGGTTTGGGTTTGGAGTTTGGGGTCTTAGGGTTTCGGGCTTGGGGTTCAGGTTCTAGCATCGAGTTTAGGTTTAGCGGCATGTAGGGTCGGTGGGACTTAGGGTCCGTCTGTGGGATTGCCGTTCGCGGTTCATCGTTCCTATACCCACCCTTAGAACCATGAAAAAAATTAAAGTTGTACGTTTAATATTCTGTTTAATATTCTCTTGGGTTTGATATGAACAAAAATAAAAGCAGCTCCGAAGAGACTACAGGTTCGGGCTCTGGCCACAAAACCTACACCAGGCTTAGGGTTAAGGCTCCATCAGACAGGTTCTACACGCAAGGACTATGACGCGTCATGGAACTACACCTGTCACCCGAATAGAATGTGCATCATTCCGAGGACTTCCCGGGACTCAGGGCCAGTGAGGCTTCGGACCTTTAAGGTACCACCGGTTGAACCACGCTTGAGAACGGTAGGGTTAATTCAATGCCGTCCCTCCTCGCACAAGATGTATACCACACGTCTTTCCAAAAGCTTGTCGATCTGGCCTGCTTCAAATCTCATCGTGTCCAAGATGCTTACAATCGCATAGTGTCATAGATGCTTATAACCCCGAGGGTAGTTATGGCAACTAGAGTTAAGCACTGAAAACCCCAACTGGGATCCCTACCTGAACTTACAATTCAACTACTTTAACCCTGAAACCTCAACACGATCGACAAGGCCTAGAATCTCAGAAACCATGCAGACAGTACCTCAGTCTTCCGGGCCCGCAGGCGGGCACCCTGTTGCCATCATTCAAACCGGAAACCCAAACGAAAAGGGTAAGCGCGTGGTGATGGGGGGGGCCCAGTCTATCAACAGCTGAAGAAGTGGCCCCGACTGCGTCCAAACCCTAAACTCTTGACTGTGAAACCCTAAACTCCTGACCGTAAACTGAAAATCCGAAAAAAACCAAAGACGTAACACCCTAAACTCCTCAAACCCTAAACTCCCATATAAAACCTAGACTCCTAATTTCTTTTTCAAACTACCTAAACCCTAAGCTGGAAGTCCATAAGCTGAGCCCTGCACTGGTCAGCGTCCGAGACATCGACTCCATCACCTGGTTTGCTGCATCTCAGGCCCGAAAACCCTACGAACCGGGGCCTTGATAATCAGACTAGGGTTTTAGGGTTTAGGGTTTAGGATTTAGGGTTTAGGGTTTGGATTTAGGGTTTAGGGTTTAGGGTTTAGGGTTTAGGGTTTAGGGTTTAGTAGGGTTTAGGATTTAGGGTTTAGTAGGGTTTTGGGGTAGGTTAAAGAGACTAGGGTTTTGGGTAGATGGAAATATTTGTAGAATAAGGCACCCATAGGAATACTTTTGGCATTCAGGCCTCTGCATTATCACGTCTAAGGAGTACGGGCGTCTATATGATAAACCCCTTTGAGATTTCGAGACTAGGGAATCGGGGCGTGAAGTCTAAAGCTCGAACCCCGAGCACCTTCTAGAGCCTCGGGTGGAGCTTGAGCACTCAAGCTTTGAGGCTTTCTGAAAATTAGGGTCCCCTGCCCAGAAAGTTGGAAGATGGATGTAGGATGATTAACTAGGATTCCGTATACTGTACCTGAAGGGCATGAGGATAATCATGCTCCAACTTTCTCGCTTCTACCTCTTACAGTATCCAAGTTGATCTTCGCGGTACATATTGGATCCCCCATGTCGGCTTCGAGCCGCAGGATTAGGTTATCAGGTCTTTGGGGCCTGCTTCGCGCTGCAGGAGGTGGAGGTAAGTGATCAAATCCTGCTCTAAAGGCCTTCGCAAACCCTTTTGAAGATCGTACGAAATCCAAAAACTGAGGATGCAACCGCGCGCGCTTCTGCCATCGACGGCCTGAGAATCAACGGCCCCAACTCAAAACCTGAAACCTAAATGCCGGTGGTGCGGGTTTAGCTTTCGAAACCTGAAGGCCCTATATGCCCCTATGCATATGCTAACACTTCCAACCTCCGGATCAGGGCTGCTGTTTCGGGCGGAGGTTTAGGAGTTTAGGGTTCAGCGTTCAGGGCTTGATGTAATTTCAGACTCTCTTCTAGTGAAACGTGGCATGGGGGCAAAGAAGGCACCCAGTACCACGAAAGCTTCGTAAGATGTTGGGGCTCTTTGAGTTTGTTGACTCGCTTCATTCTTGGGTTTATGCAGGCTCCATCATCCGCGTCACCCTTGAATGAAGTCCAGACCGCACGCAAATGACCTTCCCGAGCACAGTCGGGGCAACAAAACTGGGCTCCTATACTGCAGCTACTGACTTACTGTGGACGCTTGGGTTGTTGAGGAGATAGCATGAAGGGGATCTAATTAAGTTCAGCAGCTTCTGCCATGCGCGCCTCAAACTAGCAATCCCTAAACCCAAGCCCCCAAATCATTGACTTCTAAATAATTTTCCAAGATCTTGACTGCAAAACCAAACAAGCAACTTCCAGCTTCCTAGGCTCAGGTGCCGAACTCAAGAACTCGTAGGATGCCCGGTAACCTAGGAATAAAAGGGCTCCCGTTTTGGTATTGGGGAAGTTTTATAAGGAACCAGGACCACTAAAAGGGAATAAGGGTACTACTGGGCATTGGGCATCCTAGACTCTGACAAAAGGAAACGGGCTTGGGCTCAGCCTGCTGGGAGACGCCACTCGTGCCTGCAAGCCGCAAGAAGCAGAAACCCCAAACCCTGAAACCCTGAAACCCTGAATACTAAACCCTAAGCCCTAAACCTTAAACCCTAAGCCCTAGACCCTAAACCCTGAACCCTAAACCCTAAGCCCTAGACCCTAAACCCTGAACCCTAAACCCTAAGCCCTAGACCCTAAACCCTGAACCCCCCAACCCCGAAACCCCAAAACGCTGAACCGTCATCCCCACGCCCTTATGACTTGCAGCGGCTAGGGCTTCGGATTTCGGGCTGCGGGTCTGTGTCTAGGGTTTAGGGTTCTAGGGCTGGGGTTCAGGGGGGTTGAACGTCCGAACTATCATAACTTAGATGG